TGGACACCATTTTCAAGGACAAACATTCTTTTCTGGTATTATGGACAACTCACGTTATGGACTATTTTTTTTGGAAACTGAGGTGTCCATATTAACGAGACATCACTGTATATGACAGCTGTTCATATCTGGCGACGGTAACCGTTCAATGCTGCGATAACCTTGCCACTGGTCAGCTGGCCCAGCTTGTCTGTCTGGCCACGGATGGATGTGTAATGTATATCCTCGAACACACGACGCTTTTGCGAGCTCGATTCGGACAACTGTAAGTAACACATTTAGCTAGCCCAGCTTGTTTGTCTGACCTCGGAAGGATCTGTAATGTACGTCTTCCAACATGCGACGCTTTGCGAGCGCGATTTGGAGAACCGAGCATTGCCCATAGTACCTGCCTGGGAAGAAGAAACTGCTCTGAAAAGAACGACCGGATGCACGCCACGTAACGGACGCAAAATAGACCTCTTCATGTAATCAAAGTTAACCCATTAAAATAAAAATTTTATTCCTTCCCAAACCAACGTCGCATTTCCAATTAATGACAAGTCAGCACCCGGCCACTGCTGACACTTGTTTTGGTTCAAAGCGTGGGAATGTCAATGCTTCCAAACTTAAAAGAGTTCATCCTTTGGGTTGTTGACAGAATGATAATTTATTTGCATTGAAGAGAAGGATGTGACCAGCTGGAGTAGCTAGGAACGCTGAGCCGAAATCCCTCTAGCAGCGGCAGACTTGCCTTCTGAACGGATGTCTCTTTCCAGCAAGACTGCTGCTCAGGGTACGGCGACAGTGATCTTAGCAGCTTCTATAGACCTTTGCAAAAAGAGCGCTGTGGCAGCCGCCATTTTGCGAATCGAGCGACCCCTATCGGCCAGAAATTTCTGGCACCCGCCTGAGCTGTGGAAACCCGGTCAGCGTGACTCACCACCTGCATTTTGCATTCGGAGTTCGCCGGCTTTTCTTGAAGGTTTTTACTTTATTCGCCTGTTTAGATGCTTACCCTATGTATGTTATCTTCCACTGTGAGAACCAGGGAATACCAGGGCTCGTTGCCTGAACGGCCTTCGCAGGAAACGAACGAAGAGAGCGAACGTCAAGCAGCCCGTGACGCAGGCAGTTCGACGTTCTTGGAGGATTATTTCCGTTGAGATAATCTCCAAAAAGCCTTCCCGGCTGTGTTTCGGGTCTTCGCGAAAAATAGCTGATAGGGTCGGGTCCGGGGTGTGGGGACAGAATAGAAACGTTCGTTCATTTGCTTCGAAGCTGTGCAAAAATGCTGCCCTCTTCTACATGTTCCCCAAAACACGCCGGATTCTGTCCGATTGTCGTGAAGTGACTATCGTCAACACTGTATATTGGATATGCTGTGTTATTTGAGACCTTTCTCAAATCCTGTTCAAATAATGCGGCACCGTGGGGTGCGTACAATATATGTTGTTCGATTGATGAGGCTCATTGAATTTCATGTTGTGGGCGGTGAATATCCATGCAGTTCGGATATCCTGTGTGGTCAAATACTTTGAACACACACGGCTGAGTGTACGGTGCCGTAAAACGATGAACATAAAATGAAACAAACATTCCAGTTGCATTTGTTCTGTCGCGCACGGACTCACCAAAACAGCTTTCATTTCTTTGTTTTTGTTCCTAAAAATAGAGCACTACTTTCTTAAATACCTCTCCAAAATAAGGTTCGCCACCAGAACACAAAATAAAAAAGAAAACGCGGCAATTTAGTTTCCAAAAGCGTCCGGAATTGCGCCTACGCAGGCTGCCACTGCTCACTGACGAGAAACTCCACAGCTCAGCGCAGTCGGGCAACACTGAAGTACACTTTCAAAACCAGGGACGCGCGCTGTAAATCGCTTCGTACGAGACTGCCGCTGGAAAGGTCTATACGAAGACTGCACCAAGGATGCGTAGAGGTTTGCTGCAGCGATAATCTCGCGTGGGAACAGTAAAAGTGCTTTCCAAAGAAGTTTGAAATGACATCGCTTTGTCATAGCTTTGCTCGGGTTTCTTTGCCACCATTACGTAGTGTACAGAAAAAAAAAATTTGTTTTCGAAGAATCATGCGGCCATTTTTCATCAGAAGTAACGAGCGACATATAACGTAATTTGGTAAGACACCGTAAAATAATGACATTACTCAATAGACATTTGGGATTCTAACGAGTATGTTAGTAAAAAAAACTAACACGTTACCAGTAACGTCGCTACCTGTAACGTGTTAGTTCCAACACTTGTAAGTTGTAGTTAACCGTTTCCTTTCTCTAAATCACCCCAATAAACTGAAGGCATCACTACACAAGCCCTTACATATTCAGGAAGACTGGCTGCTTTCCACTAAGTTAACTTGGCTTTTTTTCTTTTCTTGAGACCAAGACAGTGGTAATCATGTGCAACACCTCACTGCTATGTTCAAACTTAGCTGCAGGTGGCAACCTCACTGCTCACTCACCTGATACGCCACTTTGGCAAAATATCAATAATTCTGCAAAAAGGAGCATCGCGATTATGTCCGCCAGAAAAAACTTCCGGTCCCCAAACCTTTCAGACTGCCGCAACAGGACTAAGCACACTGCCTTGAAACACTCCAATTTCAGCTAGTTTTTTTTCTTTTACAAGCCGCGCCAATCCTCTTCCAAACTCCCCAGAAACCTTTAGGGCCACGTACCAGCACACTACAAGTTGCATGATACTAATGTCTACCAAGCCAGTTTTCCTGCTCAAAAAGTTTACTTTGCAAGGTGAGCCTTTTAAGGAGGTGGATACTCTATCCATGTGAGTATGCCTTTTTGTTTTAAAGAGAAGTGGATAAACCATTAACGTGGGTATACCTTTGTTTTCCAGAGAAGTGAATACTCTATCCATGTGAGTATGCCTTTTTGTTTTCCAGAGAAGTGGATACTCTATCCATGTAAGCATGCCTTTTTGTTTTCCAGAGAAAATCATTTCCATTAAAAAAAATTACTCAGTTATGCAATTGTGGTTCATTTACGTGAATGCCACACTTTGCATGCAGGGTAGCCTTGTTGCCAAAGAGCTCAATTTTTGTAGACTATGCTTCATACGCACCCAAGTTGACGGCGCAATGGAAACTTCACCGGACCAATCAACCACTTCCCTTTCATTACCTGACCAATGGGAATGAGCTAGAGTGTGATCATATGGCGATAGACATACGCTGGTCTAGCGAGCATGCAGCTTGCACTGTACTGTCAGCTTAGGGGTGAACGGAGTATAGTGGCAGGCTCTGTTCCCCCGTGTCCAACCAAAGTGAACAGGCATTGTCCTGGCATGCTTCCACAAACTGCAGTCACGCAGTGCACTCATTGCTCCGCAAAGGTGCACAATTGCAGCAGATGCTGTCTCGCTAGAACCAAGTCAATTTACACTGCCTGCCCCAAGGAACGGAGACAAAGAAGAAAAATAGCCATGTGCTCAGAACATACGCAAGTGGAAATGTAATCTTGTTGGCTGGTATGCCCCCCTCCTAAATACCGCATTCCAATCACCATGGTACTTAGCATTACAGTGATGTGATTTGCCTCAGTCATCTTGGAGCGCCTTTCGGAGCAGATAATCTTAAAAAAATAAAAACATTTGTCTTAAGTGCGAAGGGCACTTTGTGTTGTCTTCTGATGTGATCTGTTAAGACAGAACTCGCTGCTTGTGTTTTTACTGCTGAGACATCCCACAGGTGTACAGTGCTGTAGGCAATGCCGAGCAATTCCAAAAAACCGCCTGCCATTGTTTTACTGGTTCCCGACGTCTTAAGCGCCGTTCACACACTTGCAACCGAGTAGGACGAAGAAAGACATGACCGGTTTTTAAACCTCTCACAACGTCTTAGGATCACCTCCGCAGCAGCGCACCTGGTCCTAAAATTGGTCTAGTCTCTCTCGGTCATTCTCAGTTACAAGTGTGTGAACGAGCCTTCAGAGTTTCGTCAAAAGCGGCGGTACTTAGTTTCATTTAGAAAGTGTCATATCTGCAGCGAAGTGGGGACGGCAACAGCCGACGTCGCGCGACCTCGATGACAGGAAGGCAGTGACAAAATATAACTTTCCCGCGGCCGTTGCTTTTAGGACCGAGTGCTTCAGCTCACAAAGTAACTCTCGCCCCCAAAAAATGTGGTTACGTTTCATAGCATTACGACATGGCTGGTACCCGGCATGCTAACGTCTGAGCGTCCGCACACACCCGCATCTATCGTTGAAAATATTTTAAAAACAAGACACGAGACAAGACCCACGAGACGAGCGCGCAAAATGCGAGACGGCGGGAAAACTATACAGGACCTGATGGACAATTAATGCAGAGTACATTGTGTCGGCAGCCGCTTGTGCCACATAACAGACGCATGCACAATTACGGTACTCAGTTTAGTTTCGGTTTTGAAAGGCGACAGAAAATGTTTTGGTGCAGGTGTAAATTACTCAGATTTTGGCAAAATGTAGCAGGATGTAGCAGGGTTAGCCCTTTGGCGCAGCTATCACATCACTGGTATTATCGCGTAACATTCTAGTGGAAAGCCAATGTGATAAACATGTCCTTAAGAATCCTTCGAAAACTTTACCCTCCAAATTTAATTCTTCAACCATTTCCACAGGTGTGAATCCAAACTGTGTTTTAAGCAGTGATCACAACACAAGGCTCAAAAACAATTCAGCAATGTGTTTGAAAGCTACACATGCAAGTGATGGTGGCCTAATCAGATGATTCTCACTGCCTACTTGACTTCTACCTACTCATACAGTGGTGTGCTATATATGACCCCAATCGAAGCATTGCATGCTTCCTATAGTTTGCTTCCCTTTAAGTCTGAGCATGTTGCCCCAAACAATTTCTGCACAGCAAGGGCATCCATGCAAAGTATAGGGTAGTGTTTGTTCATCTGCAGGACCCACAGGGCCTACATAACTGCAGAAATGTCAGTGGCCCATGGCGATGTCCTGTAAGTGGTAAACTCGTGCCTGCATAAAACGAAGCATACTCACTCGTATTGTGTTCTTTAACGTTTCCGCTTCTTGACGTAGACTGTCCAATTCATTCATTCTGCTAGTTTAGGCTCCGCAACCTGCAAGACAGAGTGAGACATCAGTTGTAGGTTAGCCATATTCAATAAAACCCCATGCCCAATGCACAACAAGCAGCCATAAGGCTTTCTGTTACAAAGTCATCCGCTTTCTTGGGCATGGGGTCACAGGCACATGGACTCGCCAGTCAACTTCAACCTGTGTGCCGACAACTGCCGCAAGCGTCAGTGAGAGCAATGCTGTCAAGACACTCACTTCTGTCATCAGCAATGCTTTTTATTTTGCACCACTGTACAGCCACAGGAGGAAATTCGGCGATCACTCCCAGGTTGTCAAAGTAGTGCCAGGACAAAAGTGATATGCAGCAATGCCAAAATAGAGCAGACATCTGAATGGCTCTAGGCATACCCCCGTTTTACGGCACTGGGACTGTAGGTTCTCATGTATTAATGAAAACATACTTTCACTATGAAAAGCAAGTTGGCCTTGCAGATGCTTATTAGAAATGCTGTGATGAAGGAAAAAAAAGAACCTCAAATTAAACGGTTACAAGAGCCACCAACAGTGTTTAGAACTCATTAACAGTCCCATCAGTCAAGGTTCAGTAGTGTCTGCGGAGAAGTGAGCTGCTGCGAAAAAAGTGGGGCTTCAAAGACACAGAAGACTTTTTTTCAGAACTCAAAAGAGAGGAATCACGTTAAATGCTAGGATCAATGCAAATCACACCAAGAATAGGTTCAAATTTACGGCCAAAAAACGAAGGCCGAATTTGAAGCATACAACAATGCCCACACACAATCATGTCAAGTGGCCCCTCGATTGTGGATTAACTCAGGAACAACTATGCAATTCGCACACAGTATCTACCCTCTGGGCATCCAGTAGAACCACCGCTTTTCAGAATAAACACTGAAAGCCACAAGCTCGGGACTGCAGAGAGCAAGTAAACTAGCTCCACATTCCGATGCACTGCCTTTATCAACTCCAATGCAATTGCAAGGCAGGGTGCAAGGAAAGGCAAGACCTCCCACCGTTTCAACTGATCCGGCAAACGAGAAAGCTTAGCTATCTCTACTCGAGCAAGCGATTTGAGACCTTCACAAGATAGGAGGGCCAAAAACTGCCTCCTCAGATCAACGCAGACACGGAAAGCACGCTAATGCTTACTGATTGATAAGGACGTCACGAGCACCACCACCGAATAGGTTTGTAGCGAACAGCCACAACGTTTGCTCGCTAAACGCTACAGTCTGATGATCTCAAGGCAGCCTGACCGAAGGGTACCGGATTGCACTCCCAAAATACGTCGTGAAAGGAAACCAGAAATACTTGCGTTGGAGACACGGAGGAGCCCTTCAAACGGCTGCCCGTCGCAAGCTCTCGAGGTACCGATTGTACAGCCTCACAACCTCGCCTGAATCACATCCATCTGTCACTAGCAGCGTCCTGTTTGTTAGGCCTTAAAACTGCTGCACGACGATCGTGCCTAGAGAATCGCGTACACTTTTGCACTGTCCCGCTGCCAAAGATGCACCATAAACCGAGGTTTTCAAGTACAGCGATACACACAACACGACGCAAACGTCAAAACGGGCGTTTGCAGAGTCCTCTCAGCACAAAACATGCCAGCGATCATTTTTTTTAGGGCTATCGCCGATCTAACAAGCAGTGCCGTTCGGCGCGTTCCAATGCCACGCCTCCCTGTCACACAGATTCAAGGTCTCCGTTTAACTCGCTTTTGGAGTTTTAAAAGGCGGGAAATCCGCTCGAATTTTGCCCCAAAGATAGCGACGCGAGTGCACGGGCGCCTTTCTTGCACGCAAAATCATCCTTGTCACGCAAGCTCCTCGAAAACGAAGGTGCCCCGAGCTGCACCGCCGCTCCTTGCCACGTTCTAGGTACGATGCCGACGGTTGTACCGGTACAATGTTTAGGGTTACTCTGGGTCTCCGGCCACCGGACGAAAAGCTGCAGCCGTGCGGCAATCCGCGCACAGCTAAGGAAATGTAATCGGCTTATCAAAACACAATATCCGCCATTTGCAGGGCGCTGGGAGGAGCTTTGCTAGCCCTAACTCAAGAATAATTGTCAATCTCCGCCGAACACTGGACATCCAAGGGCTCCCCGGGCCCACCGCTGCACGCGCAGAAGCAAGCTCCGTCCGCGCGCCATCCGCAAGCAAGTGAAACACGCCGAGAAGAAGCAGGAGCAGCCATACCTTCCGAGTGTAACTTCCCTCTAAGAATAGGCCTAGCTAGTCGCCGGGTGTCCCAGGCTTGCCGTGGGGCGAATGGTCTCCCGGCCTGCCGTCACAGCCGTTCGTTGAGCAGCATGGAAGAGTGTCCGCTACGCTTAACCGACGAACCTCAAAATCCACACTGCAACATCCAATCCACGCCTCGAAACTCGCCCAGTGCACAAGAATCCAAAGCGTGTTCGTAAATTTTTTTTCCCGTCCGCCTTGAGCAGGGTGCGGCTCCCGTGCACAAACCGCCCGAGACCCCGTAGTGAATTTAGTAGCACCAAGTCGGCGCATGCGCTCCGTCAGATTCTGTTCGCGGCTGCGCGGATGATCGCGGGAAAAAGGCGGATATGACGCACGTGCGGACGTATGGCCGCGTTTCCGGTGCCGGATTACGAGGAAACAAACGCGCTGGAAAAAAAGGCGCTTGAGTTGGTGGTAACAAAAACGCCGTCTGGTACGAATTCTTAAACGCTCTGACGTCATGCGTGCTGGAGCACGCGCGTGCGAGGTGCAGCTAATCAAGGGCCTGCATTAATGCGGGCAATTAAAATCTGGCGCGTGATTTTGTCTTGCGCGTTCGCTCACTCATACGTTGCACTGGATTATGTGAAAAGCAAAGTTTCTGGTATCTGCAGTTGATATTCATTCACAGTAAAGTAATGAGCGACGCGAGTAGTGTGGTGCATGCGCGCAGTCGTTAGTGCGCTTATCTGGAACTCTCGCTTTTCCAACTCCCTCGTATCCGATAATCGGGCATTTTTGTTTTCGTCTGTTTAGGGCTCTTGAGTATTACCGGATATATAAATAATATTGATTGTGTTTTATACACGCGAAGGATTAATTTACTATTAAAAAAAAAAAGTTACAGGATGGCTTCACTGCAAACTTTCTGGCTTATGCAGTGAGCTAGTTTGCCAGCGCTCTTTCGAAAAATGGTCGATGTGTCCAAGGGTGCAAATATACCTGTTTCTTGGTCAGCTTCGTCGGTTTATTAGCGTGGTTCTCGTGTTATACGAACAAGGTAGGCATTAAAAAAGTGCCGTGAGAATTTTTCTGCAAATTATTTTTATTCCGTTTTCTTAGTTATCTCTATTGTAAAATACCAAAGACATGTTCGGTGTGCTGTATACTGAAGCGTCTTGTTTTTACTATTTTTAGCTGCATTTTATTTTAGTCTTCGTAAGTATGAATATATGCACATCCTTCTCGTGATCGCTGGATGCAGGACCCATTAATTGTAAGAAACATTTGACAATATTTATGAAGCTAAAACATCTACAAAATCTTGGAAATTAACTTGTTTGGTTAGTGACTGATCACTGGTCTTCTCTTCCAACATCGTTGGTGAACCAGTGATAGTAAAAAATATTTATGTTCTTTTTTTTTTTTTTTCAATTGAACGTCGTTTTAAGTTCCGGTTGTTGATTTACCCAATATAAGCGCCATTTTACCGCCACGTTTGAAATAATGACACGCAGTTATTTGGTACGCAGTAGCCAACGCAGTAGCGTGCCGAGAGTACCGAATACTGAGAACGCGCGCTAGAAATCAGCTTTGTGCGGCGGGGTCAAGGACCCCAAATACGTCTGTGGTCGGGTCTAGAGCACTACATAGCTCCTACGGAGCAGAGTAACGCAATCCTTTGATCCGCGTCGTTCGCACACAACATGGCCGACAAAGCAGTTCCGCGGGAGTCACGTGGTACTCAGGGTTCCAGTTCCAGGGGGCGCCCGCCCCGCCCGCCCTATGGGACGACACATGACGATCGACGCAACACGGCTGATTAAAAGTAAACGCCGAGTTCACACTTTTCGATACTGGTCTGTCGTGGGTCTGTCGGGAAGCTGGTAAAGGGAAAGTACTAAACACTTTGTCAAAGTTTCCATAATTTTAGAGGCGTGTGAAAATTTTGAGAAGGCAATTTCCAAAGCAATGACGTTTGGAGCAGACGATTGTGCGGGTCACGTGAATGGTGTGACGTCGCCGCGTCGTCTGCTGCACAATGCCGCTCAGCTCAGGCAATAAAAAAAAAAAAAAAAGAAATACATTCTTACACGGCACACAACTTGGCGCAAATTCTTGTAAACTGTTCCTTTACCAAATCAAAAGCTATTGTCGTTCCGTATATGTACATCCCCAAAATATTCAAGAAACAACGATTTTCTCCTCACGTTCCCCGCGTTCCCCTTGCATTTGTGACAGGAGTTGGAACCCCCGGGCGTTTGCCGCTAGTCGCCAAGATATGACGTCACTGCTCTCAAGTCGGGTCGGTGGAAACAAAAATAACAAAAAAAACACTTAATTTTGTTTTTATAACACTCTCATAGTCATTTTTTGCACTTTCTTGGTATACACGTACCACTTTTGTTCCTCACTTTTTTCAATAACTCTATGCTTTTTTCAACTGCTTTTATAACATTTATGACTAACATGTGGCGCCATCTATTCAAATTAGAGAAGCTTTCACTTAAAACGTCACGCCTAGTATAGATAGAAGGCATTTAAAGGTCGCGGGATTCCCGGTTAGACGCATGTGCGTCTGTCGTCGAGCTCGTAGGAAGGGTAACTGCGAACACACCGGTCCACGCAATCGTCTGACCTAAATGGAGCCCATGTACCTCGTAAAACGTCCTCGAGACCTGCAACGAGGATAAGCGACGTCGAAGGCCCGGTCCTCTCCACTGCAACAACAACGACGAGATGCCATGCACCCCGAAGTCGTCGTGAAAGTGCTCCTGTTCGCCAAGGCCCGCGATTTAGCCGGTGGCGTCTCCGAACTCTCGCTCCCGTTCCCGAGCGTGCTCCGAGACGTCGAAGAGCTGAAGCAGGTGCTCTTTTCCACCCACCCTCAGTTGCGGCCGCTGCAGCACTGCGCCGTCATCGCCGTCAACGAATCGTACGTGGAATCCGGCGCTCAGCTGACGTTGCGCCCAAACGACGAGATCGCCTTTATACCTCCCATCAGCGGCGGCTAGAAGCCTAGCAAGCGCAGCGATGGACTACACGGAGCTGTGCACGTCCAAGATCGACACGGAGAAGCTGATTTCGCAGGTAGGTGCCCCGGACTGCGGCGCGATTTCCGTGTTTATCGGGACGACGAGAAACCACTTCGAAGGCAAGAGGGTGCTGAAGCTCAGCTACGAGGCGTACGGGCCCATGGCCGAGCGAGAGCTGGTCAGGATGTGCGCGGACGTCCGCACCAAGTGGAACGTCAAGAACGTCGCCGTCGTGCATCGGCTGGGCGAAGTGCCGGTGGGGGAAGCGAGCATCGTTATCGTCGTTTCGTCAGCGCACAGGGAGGAATCTCAGGCGGCCGTGAAGTGGATCATCGACCAGGTCAAGAGCAGGCTGCCCGTCTGGAAGAAAGAGATCTACGACGACGGACTGTCCGAATGGAAGGAGAACAAGGAGTGTTTCTGGAACGCGACTTGAAGTCCATCCCCCGTTTTCTTTTATCCACTGTTCTCGTCATTGTTATTATATATACCCAAGTTTAGTGCATCGATACCTTTGTTGATTCGATGTGAGGAGGGGAAAGTCTATTGTTCCCTGTTACCGCGTTGTTCATCGATGACATTTATGTAATCCAGAGCACCAGTCAAAAGGAAGGAGCAATAAACACATGTTTGGTTTTTCACGATGACTATGTTGTGGTGGTTCGTGTGCTATTAGGGCCGTAACCAGGGGGGGGGGGGGGGGGGGGGGTGTTAGGGGGTTCTGACCCCCCCGAAATTGTTTTCTGGGTACGGCCCTGGTCGGTGCACTGGCAGCCAGCCGATTTTAATCTCCACCTCTGCGCACGCGCAGCGGCGCCGGTCGGCTACCGGGTACCAAACCGGGACCGGTTCTCCGGTTTGCTGTAACTCTCCATTATATGCCACCGATGCACATGATTTATAGGCGAAAATAAGACAATGGACACTTTCAAAATGGCCGCCGTTGTCCCCGAACCCCCCCCCCCCCCCCCCCCCCCCCCCCCCCGAAATTTTTTTCTGGGTACGGCCCTGTGTGCTACTCAGAAGCGGATTTAGAGGGGGGGGTCCGGATGTCCTGACCCCCCTCTTGATTTCTGCATGTGTAAAATTTAGGGCGTGAAACGAGGGAGAGGGGGAGGGGTTTCCTAAACAAATGGTACGCCGACCAACACCTGACCCCCCCCCCCCCCCCTTTTCAGGAAATTCCTGCATCCGCCCCTGTTGCTACTGTAAGTCAAATTAATTAGTGCGACATGTTGAACATAACGCACAAAGGGGAAGGACAAAGGAATGGAACACACAACACAAAACAAATTGGTCGTTGGTTGAATTATACAGCGGGAGTTTAGTATAAAATGTAAGCGCGATATGGCGAGCGACGAGACAAGCGACGGCGACTCTCTTCGCTGTCTCTCGATCAGTCGCGCGACGAGGCCAACCACTGCAGGAGAAAGCGACAAAGCGACGTTTTCTGGAAATTCAAAAACCGAGCGACGCACCGAACGACAGTGGGAAATCTCCTTCGCGCGTCGCCGACTCTCGTCCCTTGTGCCGTCGCTCCCCTAGCAAAAATTCCAATAGAGGATCCTATATGTATAAGATTATGGTCCAGTAAACCTACAGACCAACAGAATCCTATCGTAACCGGTAGGTGCCACCTGTTGATCCATTAGAATCCTGTTGGTGTATTGGTCCTATTGGCCCACTGGTGCATTGGTCCTATAGAGGCATATTGGTGTGTTGGGCCCGTTCCAATAATGGCGTATTGGTTCATTGGAATATCCCAACACACCAATAGACCTCTATTGGAACAGGTCTCCAACTGGCGTGCTGGTCGTGTCTTCATTTATTGTACTTCGATTTCCGTTCGATGACTCCCCAGTTGTGGCGTGCCGTACCCTGCAGCGACCCTGGCCGTGGCGAAACAGCGGAGCTGGAGAAAGCAGACTCTTTTTTCTGATGTAGGTCGCTATCAGCTTGACAATCCACGGGAGCATTAGTGGCCAGGAGTTGAAACACTGTGACAAAGCGACACTTGCGTTTCGTCTTTGCTGAAACGCATATAACAAACCACCAGATTTGCGACATCCAACAGCATGACACGCCAGCAGTGGCGTACCAACTTGTTTTTGAGTGGGGGGGGGGGGGGGGGCAAACCAGAACCCCTCTCCCCCCCCCCCCCCCCCATGGCCAGGGCGGTGCCTTTGGCATGCCTGTGGCACCGCCGGATAGTGTTTGCCGTGCCCAGTGGCGGCTTTTTTAGGGGGGCAAAACACATGCCTTGCCCCCCCCCTCCGAAAACTTAGGGGGGGGGGGCAAGCGCTTCCCTTGCCCCCCCGATTGGTACGCCCATGCACGCCAGCTCCTGACATACGTTGTAACCACTTCTGGACCGCTTTCAAAGACACCAGTCAAAGACGCATTGCAGGCACCGTACTGTTCATTATGACTACTGGGCTCTAAAAATCATTGTTCCCGAAAAGGGGTGAACAGTGCAAGGAGCATAACCAGAGAATAGGTTTAGCAAACCTAACAATTATGGGATGCCTAATGTAGAAGGCAGCTAAGCTGCAAATATTTAGTTTAGCTTCAAAGCTTCCAAGGAAGTTGGGGTTCAGCTTACAGTTTAGCATATTGAGATAATGAGCGTGTAAATACTTTAAGGATGTCAAATATAAAAAAGTGTTCAAGTATATCCAGTCAAAATAACCCTAGTGCACAACTGCACAAAAATGTTTTTATACCTTTTACAACAGGGCAATAAACATTATGTTCTAAACATTTTATTTAAACGTGTATGTGGTTAACAAATGCAGGGTTCAAGATGACTGAAAATATTTGCAGTAAACTAGCAAATTAATAAACATTTATAACACTGGAAAAGAAAACAATGGGAATAAAATTCCCCAGGATACTCGGGATAATAACAGTTGTCTCAAGGTCTAAAAATAACACCTGTAAACTTGCTGACTGAAATTGACAACAATTTTAAGCTGCTAAATGAAGGTCATACTTTGAATGGAAATTAAACATTATGCAACTCTTGCAGCACGAAAATGGCCAGAAATTGAAACTGCTAAATGAATGCAGTACGTTTTAATAGAGATTGAACATTGCACGAATTCTTTGCATTAAACTGCTATGACGGGGGATAGCAGAAGTAAGGGCGAGCATTCGCCCTTATTTATTTGCCAAGAAACTCAGTGCGCTGTCTCAGGCACGTAGTCAGGATTTTCTTTCGGGGGGGGGGGGGGGGGGGGGGGGGGGTGCCTGGGCCCCACGGGCCTCCCCCCTGGCTACGTGCCTGCGCTGTCTATTGGCTAGCCCCGGCACACTCCCGGTTCACGTATATTTCAAAATTTTTTACTCATTATTTTTTTTATATTATGAATAAATTAAGTTTGATAGCTCGAAGAAACGCTATTTCCAGAACATAGAGTGTATACATGGGCGTACCAACCGGAGGGGGGGGGGGGCATGTATTTGCCCCCCCCCCCCCTGTAACAGCCGCCATTGGGCAGGGCAAACACTGGCCGGCGGCGCCCAAGGGATATCAAGGGCACCGCCCCACCAGTCTTGTGTGGGGGGGGGGGGGGGTTTGGTTTGCCCCCCCCTTCCCCTCAAAAACAAGTTGGTACGCCACTGCGTGTATATTTGATTCCGCAAATACTGCAGAACCCGCCGTCAAGTTCAGAACCGGAAGTCGACGGAGGCTATTTGCACACGGCGCGACCACGTTTCAACTATAAATAAATAAATGTTTATTCGCCATCACATCCGTGATGGCAGGAGACCCAGGAAAAACAGCTGCATAAATGTAGCTTGACGAGTCCCCGGCCCCCTCCCTACAATCAGCAGCAGTGGCAGCTCACAAAGAACACAAAGTAAAAAAAAAACAGAAAATACAAGTCAGTTAAAAAAAAAAAAATAGCGATTCAAAATATGACATTGCAGAATATAGCAAGTTCAACTCTAACAATTAAATAAAAATGTATGATTATCACAACAAATCACACATATTCAGAGATATAGAGAGCATGATTAAGCACTGTTATATAAGTTATGATAAATTATAAGCTTATGGCGAACTGACATAAGAACTATACACACGTCAGGACACTAGAGCATTGCTCGATCGAAGTCATCAAATTACACGCTTAAAAAAGGATTGGATTTTTTTTGGTGTTGATGTTGGGATGATGTTGGGAGTTCCATATTTTGAGTATTCAGATAATTAAGTAGGTTGGGTAACGCATTCGATAACATCTGCTCACCGTAAGTAGTTCTGCAATTTGGCACTTTCCCGTTTTCTATGTTGCGAGTTGAATATATTGGATATCTCCTCGTCAGAGACGCTAGGTTGACAAAATGACATATATTGTTCATGACTTCGGACTTGTAACTTAGGCATAAACGGCATTTATATAAACTATACACATGCAATACATTCAAACTTTCGAAAAGAGATCTGCTAGGGTGATCATATGGAACCTTACTGATAATTCGTACTATTTGTTTTCTGGAGCACAAGTATCTTATTTAAATTTGCATTAGTAGTATTTCCCCAGACAATATGACAGTGGTGCACATACGAGAGAAATAAAGGGTTCTAGATGATTAATTTAACACTTGCTGGCAGAATGGAGCGATGACGGCATAATGCCAACGACCCGTGACAACTTTACCAAAATATCATTTACATGGTCATCCCATGTCAATCGTTTCGTGAATATAATACCAAGTGTTTTGAAGCGAGCCAAAACCTCTATTTTGGTCGAATCCAACACGATATCTGTTGCGATAGAAATTTATTTTTTTGGTTAAAAAAAAATCAGCCTTGGTTTTGTTTACGTTACCCAGCTCATGGAGAGTTTGATTAGTCCTATTTGCTAGTTCAAGACAGCATGTCTCCTTTAAGGAAATAGACTTGTATCGTCAGCGTAATTAAATCACAAATTTCGTACTTTTATTTACATTGACAATGTCATTAATATATAAATTAAACAAAAAGGGCCCAGAATGCTGCTTTGTGGGATACCCGATACGATTGGTTTAATGTCAGAAGAATAACCGTTAATATGCACGTACCGTTTACGATGAGCAAGGTATGACGAAATGAGAGCTGACGCGGTTTCAAAAAAACCCGTACTTCTCTAATTATTGTTTTTTTTTTTATGAGCAGCCTATGATTTATATAATCAAATGCTTTGGTGAAATAAATAAAAATCCCAAGGGTCAGTTTTTTTTTTTTTTTTTTATCCTCAAAACTTTGCAAAATGTATTATTTTTGTTCTAGGAGAGCGAGTTCCGTAGATCGGCCCTTACGAAACCCAAACTGTGACGGAGTGATTACTGTAAACGACTTAATCTTCGCTAGCTCAAATTTTCGCGAATCGGGCCAAAGCTTAAAATTTGAAATTATTCGCGGGTTCTGATTTTCTCGAATCGATTGTAGCTTCCGTAGCGTTCACATATTGCCCGAAGTGTTCGCGGAGCGTATTTTTCACGAATTGTAGGCGATTCGCGAAATTCGCGAAAATTAGGTCCTCGCGAAAATTTAGTCCTTTACAGTATATTGTATTTATCCGAAAACTTCATCAGTCTTGAAAGCAAGATTTTTTCGAAGCTCTTAGAAAACACTGATATAATTGAAATAGGTCTATAATTC